TCTTTCTTTCTCCTTCCTTCCTTTCTTCTTTCTTTCCTTCCTCTTTCTCTCTTTCTTTCTTTCTCTTTCTTTTTCACTTGGGCTAAGATAGATCTACTAGTAAATGCAGGTGTTTATTTCTGACTTTTCTCCAAAGTTTATGTGTAAGGTGGTTGAATCGGATAGGTCATTACTAGCACGTATTTTTTTGCTTGTTTCTTTTTTTCTTTTTATAATCATTTTTTCAATTTATTTTCAGCATAACAGTATTCATTGTTTTTGTACCACACCCAGTGCTCCATGCAATCCGTGCCCTCTCTAATACCCACCACCTGGTTCCCCCAACCTCCCACCCCCCACCTCTTCAAGCCCTTCAGATTGTTTTTCAGAGTCCATAGTCTCTCATGGTTCACCTCCCCTTCCAATTTCCCCCAACTCCCTTCTCCTAACTCCCCATGTCCTCCATGCTATTTGTTATGCTCCACAAATAAGTGAAACCATATGATAATTGACTCTCTCTGCTTGACTTATTTCACTCAGCATAATCTCTTCCAGTCCCGTCCATGTTGATACAAAAGTTGGGTATTCATCCTTTCTGATGGAGGCATAATACTCCATAGTGTATGTGGACCACATCTTTCTTATCCATTCGTCCGTTGAAGGGCATCTTGGTTCTTTCCACAGTTTGGTGACTGTGGCCATTGCTGCTATAAACATTGGGGTACAGATGGCCCTTCTTTTCACTACACCTGTATCTTTGGGGTAAATACCCAGTAGTGCAATTGCAGGGTCATAGGGAAGTTCTATTTTTAATTTCTTGAGGAATCTCCGCACTGTTCTGAGAGGCTGCACCAACTTGCATTCCCACCAACAGTGTAAGAGGGTTCCCCTTTCTCCACATCCCCTCCAACACATGTTGTTTCCTGTCTTGCTAATTTTGGCCATTCTAACTGGTGTAAGGTGATATCTCAATGTGGTTTTCATTTGAATCTCCCTGATGGCTAGTGATGATGAACATTTTTTCATGTGTCTGATAGCCAGTTGTATGGCTTAAATTGTTTCTTACATAATAAAAGTAAATGAATAATGTTCTCATAAGTTCTGTCTGAGCTTCTGATGTGTCTATCTACAAATGTACTTCGAAATATTAAACTAGGGGCACCTGGGTAGCTCAGTTGCTTAAGCATCTGTCTTTGGCTCAGGTCTTGATTCCAGGGTACTGGGATCGAGGCCCTCCATGCCCCCCTGCATCAGGCTCTCTACTCAGGAGGTAGCCTGCTTCCCCCGATTCCTGCCTGCCTCTCTACTTGTTACCTCTCTCTGTGTCAAATAAATAAAGAAAATCTTTTTAAAAAAGTAATATTAAACTAATATTTCAGTACAATATAACAATAGGTATTGGTAAGGTTTAAAAATCCAACTTGAACAGTCTGATAGTCACAATTAAGTTATATGTCATAATGTGAATATTAACTTTTTGGAAAAAAAATGAAATTTATTCCTAGACCAGTAAATTTCAGGAACATATCTTAAAGTTTTATAACAACTAAAAGTGTAATTTTTATACTTAATAGGCCAAGTTATATTTCTTCCTACACATTAAAAAAACTAATTCTAGGGGTGCCTGGGTGGGTCAGTGAGTTAAAGCCTCTGCCTTCAGCTCAGGTCACAATCCCAGGGTCCTGGGATGGAGCCCCACGTCGGGCTCTCTACTCAGTGGGGAGCCTGCTTCCTCCTCTCTCTCTGCCTGCCTCTCTGTCTACTTGTGGTCTCTGTCTGTCAAATAAATAAATAAAAATCTTTTAAAAAAAACTAATTCTAAAATTCTTATTCCTCTAATTTCACACAGTGGTCCTTGTAATAGCACCAAAGTTCATTTTTGTTTTGTTTTGTTGTTACATTACTGAAAAAAAAAACAGTATAGACATTTTTAAAATACATATTTATAGGGGCAGTGTGTGGCACAGTTGGTTAAGCATCTGACTCTCAGTTTTGGCTCAGATTGTGATCTCAGGGCCATGAAATTAAACTCTGCACTGGGCTTGTCACTCAGCAAGGAGTCTGCTTCAGATACTCTCTGTTCCTTTCCCTTTGCCCCTCCCCCTTGAACTTCCCCTCACTCTCCTTAAAATAAGTGAACCTTAAAAAATACATATTTATACATGTGTATATATGTTTATCTGTGTGTGTGTGTGTGCTTGACTTATGTATGTATATATACATATATATATAAATTACTAAATGCAACTGGCCCATGTGGACAAAGACTAAACAATCACCTGCTAATGATGATGTAGTTTTATTTATAGGGGGAAAGAACCACTATTGACTAATATTAATCCCTCATAAATTTCTTCCATTTTGGACAGCTGGGAAACATATTTATTTTCTTTCTTTTTTATTGTGTTATGTTATTCACCATAAAATACGTGATTAGTTTTTGATACAGTATTTCAAGATTCATTGTTTAAGTATAAAACCCAGTGCTCCATGCAGTCTGCCCTCCTTAATACCCACCACCAGGCTTACTCTTCCCCCACACCTCTCCCCTCTAAAACTGGGGAGTTTGTTTCTCAGAGTCCACAGTCTCTCATGTTTCATCTCCCTCTGCCAATTTACCCAAAATGACTTTTCCTTTCCTTCTACTAATGTCCTCCATGTTATTCCTTATGTTCCACAAGTAAGTAAAACTATATGATAATTGACTTTCTCTGCTTGACTTATTTCACTCAGCATAATCTCTTTCAGTTTCATCCATGTTGATGCAGAAGTTGGGTATTCATCCTTTCTGATTGCCAAGCCATTTTTTCTTTCCTTTTTTTCTTATTTTTTTAAATTTCTTTTCAGCATAAGAGTATTCATTGATTTTGCACCACACCCAGTGCTCCATGCAATCCGTGCCCTCCATAATACCCACCACCTGGTTCCCCCAACCTCCCAACCCAGCCCCTTCAAAACCCTCAGATTATTTTTCAGAGTCCATAGTCTCTCATGGTTCACCTCCCCTTCCAATTTCCCTCAACTCCCTTCTCCTCTCCATCTCCCTATGTCCTCCATGTTATTTGTTATGCTCCACAAACAAGTGAAACCATATGATAATTGACTCTCTCTGCTTGACTTATTTCACTCAGCATAATCTCTTCCAGTCCCGTCCATGTTGATACAGAAGTCGGGTATTCATCCTTTCTGATGGTGGCATAATTCTCCATAGTATATATGGACCACATCTTCCTTATCCATCTGTCCATTGAAGGGCATCTTGGTTTTTCCACAGTTTGGCGACCTTGGCCATTGCTGCTATGAACATTGGGGTACAGATGGCCCTTCTTTTCACTACATCTGTATCTTTGGGGTAAATACCCAGTAGTGCAATTGCAGGGTCATAGGGAAGCTCTATTTTTAATTTCTTAAGTAATCTCCACACTGTTCTCCAAAGTGGCTGTACCAACTTCCATTCCCACCAACACACATTCCTCTCCAACACACATTGTTTCCTGTCTTGTTAATTTTGGCCATTCTAACTGGTGTAAGGTGGTATCTCAATGTGATTTTAATTTGAATCTCCCTGATGGCTAGTGATGATGAACATTTTTTCATGTGTCTCTTAGCAATTTGTATGTCTTCATTGGAGAAGTGTCTGTTCGTGTCTTCCGCCCATTTTTTGACTTGATTATCTGTTTTGTGTGTGTTGAGTTTGAGAAGTTCTTTATAGATCCTGGATATCAGCCTTTTGCCTGTACTGTCATTTGTAAATATCTTCTCCCATTCCGTGGGTTTTGTTTTGTTGACTGTTTCCTTTGTTGTGCAGAAGCTTGTGATCTTGATGAAGTCCCAAACATTAATTTTCAGTTTTGCTTCCTTTGCCTTTGGAGACATATCTTGAAAGAAGTTGCTGTGACTGATATCGAAGAGGTTACTGCCTATGTTCTCCTCTAGGATTCTGAAGGATTCCTGTCTCACGTTGAGGTCTTTTATCCATCTCGAGTTTATCTTTGTGTATGGTGTAAGAGAATGATCAAGTTTCATTCTTCTACATATAGCTGTCCAATTTTCCCACCACCATTTATTGAAGAGACTATCTTTTTACACTGCATATTTTTTCCTGCTTTGTTGAAGATTATTTGACCATAGAGTTGAGGGTCCATATCTGGACTCTCTACTCTGTTCCACTGGTCTATGTGTCTGTTTTTATGCCAGTACCATGCTGTCTTGGTGATCACAGCTTTGTAGTGAAGCTTGAAATCAGGCAACGTGATGCCCCCAGTTTTGTTTTTCTTTTTCAACATTTCCTTAGCCATTCGGGGTCTCTTCTGATTCCATACAAATTTTAGGATTGTTTGCTTCAGCTCTTTGAAAAATACCAGTGGAATTTTGATTGGAATGGCATTAAAAGTATAGATTGCTCTAGGCAGTAGAGACTGTCATCTGCGAAGAGAGAGACTTCGACTTTTTCCTTGCCAATTTGAATACCTTTTATTTCTCTTTGTTTTCTGATTGCTGTTGCTAGGACTTCTAATACTATGTTGAACAAGAGTGGTGAGAGTGGGCATCCTTGTTGTGTTTCTGATCTCAATGGGAAGGCTGTGAGCCCCACTGAGGATGTTATTTGCAGTGGGCTATTAGCTATGTTATAGAACTGTGTGGATCTTGATGTTTTAGGACTCTAAATTAGTTCAACCCTATTCACATATTTACTGAGCCTCTGTGGATAAAGCACTTGCTAGTTTCATGGGGCTTATAGGGATGATATATATAATACCCAACATAAAGAATCTGGTCCCCACAAAACCTCAGTTGTTGTAGGTGAGATCACCAGTGGCACACAGAGGCTCTTCCTGGTGGAAGGAAGTCCTGCCTGGAGTGAGTGGTCTCTTCTCCCACTTGGGTCCAAAGAAGCATCCATTCTACTTTGGCTGTAAACTCCCTGCCCCTTGAGGGCTAGGGCATGTGCCACTGAGGTTGAGGGGGTACGTGGGACATTCCGAGAGCCCCTGTGACACCCTCTGTCTCTTCCCAAGCAGGTGAATCCTTGGTGAAGCAGGACAGCAAGCAGGTGCAGGTGGACCTCCAGGATCTGGGCTATAAGACCTGCGGCCGAAGTGAGAATGAAGCTGAGCGGGAAGAGAGTACCAGTCCCGGTAGGAACACAAGGGCAGGGCTCACCTGGCCTCCCTGGAGTCGGCCTTCCCATCTGGGAGCTGCTGGCCAGTCCCACGCCTAATGAGGAGTAGGGCCGAGGGGTATGGTAGACGGAAGGGGACCCAGGACCAGTGAGGCACAGGAAGTTTGGCAGAGAACTCTTGTCCAACACGAGGCTGAGTGTGATTGGGAATGTCTCTAATTAGTTTCCAACATACTGCTGTTGATTAAAAGAAGGAAAGTTCTGTCCAACTGATGATCATCTAAGGCTTACTTTTTACTGAAGAGACCTGATGAGCTTGTGGAGACATGTAAACCCTAAGCTAAGAAATCTGTTTTTCCATCCTAGAAAGTCATTGACTGTAGAGACACCCACCAAACTGAAATTGAGAAAAGAAAAAACACTAAGGGCAGTGGAAGGTGACTGTACCTGGTTCCTGACCTTCAGGCTATTGAGTGGGTGGAAATACCATGTCTGAATGCTAGTAAAGCATGAAGATGAATAAAGTACTGCTGCAACTTTCACTCTAGTGATTCCTATCCCTGGCTCCAGAGCTGCCTCCAATCCTCAGCAGCACAGTGTAGCTTTGTTTTCTCTCAGAGTGTGAGGAGCATGACAGCCTCAGGGAAAGAGCCCTGATGGAGTGGTGCCTGGGCTCCTCAGCAGCTAGCGCCCCAGGAAAGAAGCCCTTGAAGAGCCCTGAAGGGAAGCAGGAGGAGTTCCATGCATACGGAAAGTTGGAAGACATCTCTCTTCTGCAGAAGAACATCGAAGACCTGAAGGCCCAGCTGCGGAATGCCAACAAGATCATCCAGAACCTCAAGAGCCAGATCCATTCCCTCTCAGTTACAAGTGATTATTCATCTAGTCTGGAGACACTGCAAAAGCTGAAGGCCGTTGACACCCTCGAGGGATCTTCACCTCACAGTGTCACTGACAAGGATGAGGGGTGGCTGTCTGATGGCACAGAGTCTTCCTACCCCCCAGGGATTCAGGCTAAAAAGGATCTGGGGAGTCTGATCCAGAGAGTGTCCCAGCTAGAGGCCCAGCTCCTGAAAACTGGAGTAGAAGGGAAGCTGGCAGAAGAATTGAGATCAGCCTCCTGGCCTGGGTAAGGGGGACACTCTTTGGACCTGATAGGATTGAAAATGTCTAAGCTTGTGTTGAAGGTTGGCTAGCCCAGGCAGTAGAAGAGAGCCCAATAGGGTGATCAAAAGAGTGCCTATTTCAATGCTAGGCCTAGTTCCAAAGAAAGGTCAGTAGGCCCTGCTTGAGAGACACCAGGTCTCTGAGATTTCCTCTCAGGAATCTATTAGTAAAGCGACTGGATATGTGGTGTAGTAGGAAGACTGGAGTCAGATTGGGTCTGAATCCTAACTCTGGCACTTTCTAGCTATTCAACTTGTTTAAACTTTTCTGGGCTCTTTCCTTACCTATTAAATGAGGAGACTAAGAGAACCTATCTCAACAGGTGGTTACTGGGTTTAAATGAATTAGTACAAGTGATCAAAATTGCCTAACATATAAGTTCTCAGTACAACTTACCATAACTGTTACTGTTGTTGATACTTTGTGTTGGAAGACACCGGGTATCTGTCCTTGTTATCTGCACTGAGTATCAGAAGATACAAAAGCTTAGTGGCCTCAAACAATAATTCATGTGGATTTACAGGGCTCAGCAGTGTGGCTGTTGCTTGGGGGTCTCTCCTGGGGCAGCCATCCAATGGCTTCACGTGTCTGGTTATATGATGCTCCTTGCCTTCTCTCTGTCCCCCTTTGGCTTCTTGTCTTCCAGGGTCTTTCTTCTTGGGGTGGGCCTCTCAAGTGGTCTCAGGGTAGTTCCACTTCTGTATGGCTGGCTTCCAACAGAGTGGAAGTAGAAGTTGCCAGACAGCTCAGAGCTACTCCTCGACTTAGCGCAGTGTTGCTTCCCTTATTACCTCAGTCACAGTGCTCACAGAGCTTGCCCAGATTTAAGGAGGTGGAGAACAGCCTCTACCTGCCAGTGAGAGAAGGAGCAAAGGTACATTGGCAAAACAGCATGTGGAACAGGAATGTAATGGCCATCTTGGCAAAACAGTCTGCCATAATAGAGATGATCTTCCAAATAGAATAGAATAGAAATGAAAGATCTTATCTAGACTTAGGATTAAGTGATTCCTTTTTTCCCCCAAGTTTATGTATTTATTTATTTTACATAATGTCTCCACCCAACGTGGGGCTTAACTCCCGACCCCGTCATCAAGAGTAGTGAGCTCTTCTTACTGAGCCAGCCAGCCAGGTGTCCCAGGATTAAGTGATTCTAGTCACTGAACTTATTTTTATTTATTGTGTCTATTGAATATCTACTCAATAAATACATTTACTGTTTCTTGAGTATCAACTGTGAATCTACACTCTTCTAGTCCCATGAAGAATGTAAAATTGGGCACCATATTTACCTCCACAAGACCTAGTATTTTCCTGGACATAGGGCTAACTTGCACAAAACATTGTAAGAATCACTAAATTGCTAAACTGACATCATGTACCAGAGAAGGATTTACTTTTAAATACTTTGGTTTCTGTGCCAGAATTTTGCCTGGGGAGCTCCTTTGAAATGTTCTCATGGAAATCTCTACTGAAGGCCCATAATTTCACATTCACTCATTTTCATTCTTACTTTTTCCTCTTCTCTCCTGTATTAGGAAATATGATTCCCTGATTCAGGATCAGGCCCGAGAGCTGTTGTACCTACGCCAGAAGATACAAAAAGGGAGAGGCATCTGTTACCTTCTCACCCAGCATGCAGAAGATACAGTAAAATCTTTTGAGGACCTTCTTAGGAGCAATGACATTGACTACTACCTGGGGCAGAGCTTCCTAGAGCAACTTGCCCAGGGAAGCCAGTTGACAGAGAGGCTTACCAGCAAACTCAGCACCAGTAAGTTGGCCACAGGGCTTTGGCACACACTTGGTCACTCCCATAGCCCCAGGCCCAGGTAGCCGCCACACCTCCACCACAGTCTTTTAACCCAGGTCCTGCTTCCACTTCATTTCCTGGGGCCATTACAGGATCAGAACTGGTTGGTGGGGAACACTGAGGAGAAACACAGGATTCGGAGGTCATGATTGCAATGGCAGAAACTGGAGCACTCATGGCAAGTGACTTTTAGGGAAGCAGGCTGTATCCATCCAGTGCTAAGGGGGAGAAAGGGAGAAGAGATCAGAGGATGTCATCATAGTGAAAAGAGCCTGACCTGAGAATTGCAAGACCCAAGTGGTAGCCTGGATGCTGCCATTAATTTGCTTTGGGCAATGGTTTAGCCTTTCAGTGTCTCTTTGTTTATCACACTTTGTCACTCATGAATATAATTCCAATATAGTTAAAGCACCCTGCCCTTTGGACGTGGCTTGGGCACTGAATGTCATAGTGCAAGGGCTAGGAATACGGGCTATTATTGGAGTTCTTTACTTAGAAAACATTTCCTGAGAGTACCAAGAGATAGCGGGATCAGTCTTGGGGGCCAACCATCCCACACACTGGTGGCAGGTGCAGAGGTGGGACAGGACAGTTTGTCATCTCTCAGAGCAAGAGTGTGCTCTCCATGAATGCTGTGATGGGACAAAGAGTATGCATCTGGGAGTGAGTCTGTGGCAGGCTTAGAAGGTGGAATATTCCAGAGAGAAGCTGAGCAAGTGCGCTTCAAACTTCTTTGCATTGATTTAGAGTGGAGGAAGTCCTGAGGCTGATCGCCAGGTCAGGGGAGGTCTGCCTGGTGAGCTCAAGAGAGCCCACAGGTCTCCCCTCTGAGTATACAATCTGCAACCTTCCCACATAATTCTCCTACATGTCTTGGACATACACCGAGGAATCACCATTCTGTACCCACAGATGCTCTTGCATTTATAATGTAGGAAGTGGGATCTGTTTAATTTCTTACCATGTCTTTCTGAGTTTGGCTTTCAGAGGATCATAAAAGTGAGAAAGATCAAGTTAGACTTGAACCTCTGGCCCTCAGATAACTTGAAATAGGATCTGGTAAAGGAATCAGGAACAAGGCCCAAGGGGTCCAGGGTGACAGTAACTTTACAAGTCAGGGCAGGGAAATGCTGATTATAACATGTTCATTTATTCATGAGACACTTTAGTCTCTCTTTTGCTATAATTCTGTTGATTTCTTTTTTTTTTAAGATTTTATTTATTTGTCAGAGAGAGAGAGGGAGAGAGAGCAAGCACAGGCAGACAGAATGGCAGGCAGAGGCAGAGGGAGAAGCAGGCTCCCTGATGAGCAAGGAGCCCAATGTGGGACTCGATCCCAGGACGCTGGGATCATGACCTGAGCCGAAGGCAGCTGCTTAACCAACTGAGCCACCCAGGCGTCCCAAATTCTGTTGATTTCTATCATGTAATTATTCTCTAGGTTTGGTAACCTAGACTCAGTCTGACCCAACAGGAAACTAACCAGGTTCCAGGGGTCTTGGCACCCACAAGGCTCTCCTCTGCTTTCTTCCCGGGTGTTTAAAGATGAATCTGTGCTGCTAATTTGACTTACCCTAAGCTAAGTTGGCAGCTCATTTAGTAATAGTCCAGTTCCCCCGGAGGGAAAAAAGAATTGAAGAACCATAATGTAGTTCCTTGGAGGGGAAAGGCCTGGGTATTGCAGATGCCTGGGAGGCTACAGTCTCTCGAGAACCAGTTTTCAATGAGTCACTGCAGAGAATCTTACCATGTACAGTAAAATATGGGCTCAAAGTCCACAGCTGTAGCCTCTAGTCCAAGCTCCTCTCTGTCAGAAGCCTGCTTTAGACCACATAGTGCTGCTCCAAGTCCCTGCGGTGAAGAGCAAAGGGTTTTGGTTTTGTTTTCATTGCGAATCCATGCCAGACACATACCTGGGCTGTACCTCAATCATCCACATGATTCCACGCATCCTGCTCTCGGTTGTCAAGGGCGATGCCAGACTGTCATGTGTTTGTCACCACTTACCTTCAGTTACTGTACTTACCTTCTTGGAGACTGGTAACCAGCAGTTCTTGGGGCTGCACTTGGAGCAGCTGTGCCTTACAGGGCTGGCTGAGTCTCTGCTAGTTCCCAGCGTCTCCTGTGGCCAGTGCCCTGGGTGGTGATTGCCCCTCTTTCTCCCACTGCACCCCACCTACTCTCCGCCCCTAATCAGTGATAGGTTATTTTGATGGTTCTTCACAGGAATGGTTCCCCTGACTTAGATGGCTTTTCCCGTGTGCCTTGGTCAGGACAAGTTGGGCCAGTGCCCTTGGCTTCAGCTATTGTCTCCTTCCACCCTACTAGGCTCAGCAGAGAACTGCAGGAGAAGGAGAAAGTGATCGAGGTCCTGCAGGCCAAGCTGGATGCCCGGTCCCTCATGCCCTCCAGCAGCCACGCCTTGTCGGACTCCCAGCGCACTCCCAGCAGCTCCTCCTTCCTGTCTGATGAGCTGGAAGCCTGCTCT